ATTGGTCTTTCTATTGTTTATTGACAGATGCCAATGTAGTTACACCATTCACTTAAAACATTTTCAGCATGGATTGTAGCGACGCTTCATCAGGTGCAGTTAGAGCAATATCCTCGGCATATAACACCATTGACAAACTCACAGCATCCATTTGAATACCGCAGTAAAGTTTGTTTATATCATCAACCAGATCGTTAATGTACATGGCAAATAATTGAGTCTGGACCAGACACTCCAGTGATTGACATCATGAGCATTGATCCACGCAATAAGGAAACGAAGACATGCATCAGCTAAGTCTGCGAGCCTGACCACCCGATCCCGTTAGTCGCCTCTTACAAGAACAGTCACCCCAACCACAAGCATGGGCAGCTGAAGACCAATTATAACCCGGATGTTCACGGGCCTCCTTCGATGTGAAGGGGCGTAAAATTAAATATGAAATGTATATTAGTATATGAGTAGTGATTCCATTGGCTAACCATTGAATAAACAAATATGCACGCAGTTGCATGTGCAGTAAATCATACAGCAGTCATGTATGCTTAATTTCGTTTCCACAGCAGGTGCATGGTTACGGAGTTACGTTGTGAGGGTACTATGTACAAGAAACGCTAGAAGCAGGTATATCACTTTGTATCTATATCACATATTTATTTGTTGTTTTAAGGGAATACCACATTACTATTCTTTTCACGTTAATTAAAATGGATGGTAGACGTTGATGTGTTCTCTTAAAACTATAATCCACGTGCATGACTGGACCACAATGAGTTTAACGAAGCAGCGAGACTTGCATCACTAATGAGATACACTGTTCATATCATATGTGATATTTGGATTAAAGATTGACTTAAACGCCATAATTAGGCTATAAATAAGCTCGTCTCGAAAACAGTCTGTTCACTGATTGATAACAAGTAGATAATTATGTATTGAGAGAGAGTTTCAACTGTTTCCTTTGAAAATCTCAACTTCGCCGTGTGACTATACCGACAATACTTGTATGCCGGCGCCGACCGTCCGTATACAGTCGGAGGGATATACGTTATTCCCCAAATTCGCCTGTGTACAAAATGTAAAGACCTATTAGCATATATTTTATGTCACTTGTACCAGCATTACAATGTGTTCATTGCATTTCTAAATGATATACACGTAGGAAAATAAACACAAATGAAAGAGATCGATAGACAGAGACTGATCTGACATCTATGTAAATATGTCTTGCTTTCACATTTCCTGGCGGTGAACTATGCTTTGTAAATGCTGTAATACATGACACAATTTTTGTTCAATTCAATTCTTCATTGTATGAAAGGCCACAGGCCCATATACAACGGAAGTACATAACATATTTTATAAGATACAAAGTCAAGGTAACAATTCACTTCGTAACAAAAACGCATGATGTATGTACAAAGCCAGTTGATGTTGTATTAGAGGATCCTTACATGATAGTAATGAACACAATCTTATAGCATTAACATGGGATAAAGACCACTGCGGTAAGTACTTGTTTCTTAGATTTTCGAATATAGGGCAAAACAAAATAAAATAAAATGGTATTCATCTTCGACAACAATGTCACAGAATGGGCATAACCTAAGGGATTTCTCAACAGATGAAAATCTTCCTGGGGTAATTTTTACATCATTCAGACCAAGTCTAAAACGAATAATGATTAAGAAAATTCTGGTACCGTAAGTTTGATAAATAAGATTCTGGTTCAAGCAATGACTTGAACTGACGATAAGTATCGTAGCTTGAACTTTCGTAAATATATATACATGTATAATATGCCAAAGTATTTGTATTCATTCACAACATTAATAAATTCACAATTAAAAAACAGTTTCTGTCTTGCAGCCACTCGACCACCTCTATGAAATATAACAGTATTTGTTTGATCAAGATTAACACTAAGTTTCCAATCATCTGAATATTCCGAAAGTATGTCAAGCTGCTTCTGTTGACCAATAATAGTACTAGACATCAAAATCATATAATCGCCAACAAGTAGCATGAAAAGTTGTATTATGTCAGGGAAGAGCTGGATGCCATGTCTACCAGACTGCATGATATCAACATATAAATCATTTATAAAAAAAGAGAAAAGTATAGGACACATCATTGGCGTAAGCCAATCGGGCAATAAAAAAGTCACTTTTAGTATCACCACAGCGACCACATGATTTTACATCTGCATATATAGCGAACATTTTGCCTCCTAAACCCTTTGTTTTCAAACAACTCCACAATTTAGCTCTATTTACATAACCACATGCAATTTTAAAATTAAAAAATCCACATACAACTCGCGTTTGCTGAAGGATGAATATTTCTGAATGACTGCATACAAAGTAAATATGTGGTCAATAGTCGAATAGTCCTTTTTATAAATCCCGCCTGAGTTTCAGGAATCAAATCTCTCAGGTTTGACCACTGTGTTAATCTGTTATTGATGATAGAAGTAAATGCTTTACCAAAATACCAGAGAGAGATATACCCCGGTAATTGCCAGGATTGTTTACGTTTCCATTCTTGAATAACGTAATAATAATAATAATAATAATAATAATAATGATAATAATAGAAGGAAAAACACATGTATCAAAAATTCGATTGAAACATTTAAACCAGAAAAGGCATGATATCGGAAAATAAGTATTTAAGCTTTTTAGCTATAACACAATCAACATGCACCAACAGATTTACCTGTTTTAAAAGGCGATATATAGAATGAAATATTTCCATTTCCGTGATAGGCGATTCCAGCGGAAGCATTTCAACATCACTAAAATGACTCACTGACCTCATCGTTATCATGTTCAAAGAACTCATTGTCTACCAAATATATAGAATAACGTTTTGAGAATAACTTCTTGAAATGATGTAATCATTCTGTTGTCGATGTATACTCACACGCAAAAGAAACGCAAGCCGAGTATGCAGTATACATGTTATTTATTTTCAACAGTAAAGACAAGAAATACTAATAGGGCAAGATTGACAAAAGTTTGACTGAAGACAGTTTAATGGATTAAAAGGCAGATGACATAATTGTTTTTTTCAAATGTTAAGGGCTTACACAGTTTCGGGTCAATACCCAAAATGTCAGTCAATACCTGGTGTGACCACCATTAGCATTGATCACTGCCACACATCTCCTGTACTTTGAGTGGATCAGACGATTTGTGAAGGCCCTAGGGATCCTCCTGCACACACCCAGAGCAGCTGTGCGTAGTTCATCGGCAGTTGTAGGGACTGGGCGCACATTGTGCAGACGCCTTTGAACCTCATCCCACAAGTGTTCGATGGAGTTCAGATCAGGACTGAGGGCTGGCCACAGTAGAACACGGATGTTGTGTTGTTGCAGAAAGGCCATGGTAGCTCTGGCAACATGGGGACGAGCGTTGTCCTGCTGGAAAATATGTTGTTGATGTTGTGCAAAAAATGGAACAACGTGGGGTCTGATCACTTGCTCGATATACCGCTGAGCAAAGACGCCGTGTCCCCGACCTTGACCAACATTCAGAAAGCACATGGGTCCAAGTCTCGCATTAAGTCCAATCCCTGCCCATATCATGACGCTAGGTCCACCCCATGGATCCCTTTCCACGACGTTTCTGTCAGCGAAAAGATCACCTCGACGCCGCCAAATTCTGACTCTTCCGTCTGCATGGGAGACACAAAAGCGACTTTCATCAGAGAAGATGACACGCCTCCACTCACGATGGCGCCAAATGCGATGACCCTGTGCCCACTGAAGTCGTGCTTGTCGATGCCGTGGTTGTAGAACAGGACGACGTGCTGGTTGGCGACATCTGAGGTTGTTGGAACGGAGACGTCGGATCACAATGTCCCGGCTAATGTGTCGATTATGTGTTCCTATGGTCTGTCGAGCACTTTCACTTGCAGTTAGGAACAGATGTCGCTGGTGTTGACGGGTAATCTGCCGATCTTGTCGAGTTGTGGTGACCCTAGGACGACCGCTCCGAGGAAGGTCATATGTGGTCTGTGTAGCATTTTATAGTCAGTTAACGCCCTTGCTTCGGAAAGATGGCATTATAAAACTGGCTTCAGCCTAGACGAATATATGCACAAACATACATACACACGTCACTATATACAGTAATTTTGGACGCGACGATAAACACAATTTTGTCATGGAACATGTAAAACGCAGAGAAACTGATGTTCACTAATGCACCGTATCCATGCACTTCTATATATAAGCATGTATATTTGAGTACGTGAGTATACTTGTCATGTGAACACATTTACTCATGAACAAATTGGCAACAGCTCTGTATTCTGAAGTTGACGCTGTTCAGGATACAGCAATAGCAACTATAATTCGGACATTCAGAGCTGGGCGGACAGTGTTTTCTTTGGATTAAATTACTAGAAAATTTGTGAACAGATAAAAATCAAACACATGTTGCTTCATGCGAAAATTTCTTAAAGGTAACTCTCTTCTCATTCGACTTGGATTGGAAAACAACCTGTTTCATGTTTCAAGTCGTGAACAGGCACCACTTTAACCGTTGGCAAACCTTATTTACACACCTACTTTAATGTTCATGTGAACGCATAGTACAGTTACATATACACACGTATGTATAGTTACACGTGTGCAAAATTACTTAAGTGTGTAAATTTGCATGTCAACGGGGTATTTTTTATGGGTTGATATCAATCACGTAATCGTGAGTGTTACCTCAAAGTTAATACTGGCAGAGACCATATATGGTCTCTGATACTGGATAAGTTTATAATAATGCAAACATAAAATATATATTATAGCATATCTTGAGGAGGCAACATGCAACTGGAATGAACAATACACTGGCATGTTCCCACAAATCCTACTCAGACTGAGCAGTGGCCGTCATTGCACAACACTCAAAAGGTACAAGCGAACATGGCACCGTGTGTTGATCCTTTTTGCGGTTGTTCGCGATTAAGAGATAGAGTTGTCTCCCTGACATAGCTCTTCCGTCAACATCTGGAGGAGGAGGGGGCAGATCGATCAGTTGTGAAACATATTATGTGAAACTTATTTCCTTCTTAAATATGATACCATGGTATATTTTAAAATTTTACGCCCAGAAGCATGTCAAGTTCACTTCTGGAACAGTTGTGTTGCTTATTCTCACACTGATCTTCTACAGGTATGTCGTGGTTTTGAAATGTGTTGGGCAGCAGCACGCACCTGTCAGACACTGAGACAGGTGATGTAGAGATTTACATGACGCAAAGAGGTTGGTTCATGCTGCTATTTCGTTGTGATAAAACATTGTGACACAGAATGAGATAATCATTCACATGTCTTCTTGAATGTGTCAAACAACCTGGCACAAACTCACCAATTTCCAAACTAGATCATACTCAGGGGCGGAGCCAAGATTTTACATAAGGGGGGCATCCACTAGTGTCATTTGTAACTTCAGGGTTGAGGTGGGGACCTACCCCAAGGCCTACCCCCCAAATCACAAAAACTATATGTAAACTATTATTCATAATGTTACTGTAACAACTCAATCAACATCATTGTAGGAAATGTGCATACAAAATGTCATCAGATGTCGCCACCCCCAGAACCCCGCCACTGGATCTGCCAGGGATACAAGGCTAACAGGGGTAGAAACTAACATTTTTGGTCCACTAGTCCTTATAATATTATAACATAGCAAACCCCTTAAAAATGGCAAATATCTACTAGGCCTTATGATACCTTAAAGGGGCACTGATCTAAAGCAATTCCCTGGGACTGCTTGTTGCCTTTGTTATTGTTTTTTTCCCATGAGTACCCAGATGATATAGCAGAAACCTAGACTAGTTCGCGACCTGTGCTGCGCAATTCGTAAGCACATTTGTCACTTTTATTGATAGTATGGGCGTATGGTCACATTGATCAACAAAATGAAATACAGTTTGGGAAATTATAAGGAAATGTAGGTATCTTTGTGGGTAACATCGGTAATGGTGACGAAGTTTTGATAAGTCACTTGCTTGGTAATTGTGTGATTTTCGTTTACACTGTTTTGACTTGCAACACAAAGTAATCATTTCTCCTGAGCATTGCTTATTTTATCGTGTTTATATTTTTACAGTCAAAATGTGCAAAATTTTCACGTAGGAAATTTATTAAACGCCGCAATATTCAGTTATTTTACAAACTGACTGAAAAATATGTCCATCTGTATCATTATGATAACAAATTCCAAACATTTTTATGTTTAATATCATCCCCATGAGGCTGAAAAAATGTTGCGATGAAAAGTACATTTCTATATTGTTTGGCTTCTAATCCTACATAATAATCTATTGTGATGTTTTAGGCCCTTTTGATCGTCTTAATCAATCTTAATCAATCTGTTAAAGAAATGGACACATTTTTCAGTCAAAATGACTGAAAAATATTTACACATTTTATAAATTGCCTGAGAGAATCACATTTTACAAATTGACTCTAATATATACACGCTTTCAAAGGAAAGTCTTGTGAAAACAACGTCTATTACGCATCGAAGAATTTCCCAACCAAGACGTAGATGAACAAGAATCTGTCCAATGCTACAGCAAATGAAGGAAAACAAAATGCAAATATCATAATAACAACCTACCAAATTTATGTGTATATTTTTAGGCAGCTTCCTTGTTCGAGGATTGTATCCGTGAATATCCACACAAAGGAACAATATCCCACATGTCAGCTGCTGTATATAGAAACTTTTTTTTTTTTTTTTATAGATTTTTATTCAGTCATATACACAGGATACATATGCACTCGGAAAGCAATACAGCTTTATGAATACAGGTACTTCTCAAAAGGATATGGTACAGAGGAGGCCTAAGGCATAATCCACATCATGGTACAGATGAAGGCATATTTATGTATACAATTAAGAAGATGCGGTATTTATGGTACATCAAATTATGTTGCAAACATCAAGTGAATAAGTTATTTTGCAGTTTGAGTAAACAAAGCCCATTTTCTATTAAAGGCAGAGAAGTCGTTATTTCTACGTGCAATATGATATTCAACGTCATAGATACTTCTTATTGTGTTCTTAAAAGCAACAAAGTCAACATTTTCATTCTTAATACACTGGACAAAGATAAATCTTTTAGCAGCTACAATCAAATGGTTAATTAATACATCAAAGGTACCAAAGAGGAGCTCGTTGTCAGTTATGAGGATTTTTCTATGCAAGATATGAGTCAAGTAAATACAGAAATCTGACCAGAAATTCTTAACAACATGACATCCGATATAAACATGAAAAACATTTTCTTTGTGAGTATGACACATAGAACACTCATCGTTATCAATAAGTTTCATTCTTAATAACTCACGTTTAGTAAATATTACTTTATGAATAAATCTAAATTGGAAATCCCTGAGTTTTGTGTCCCTTAACCCATGGCAATATACACTGAATATTTGATTCCATGGAAAAGAACATCCCAGCTGATTTTCCCATTTCAAACAAGATTTAGGGAAAGGGAGGGAATTCCCTATCAGTATATTATAAAACACTTTTGTTCCTTTAATAGAACGTGTAAGATCATAAATCCAAGGAGATACTGTGAAATTAGAAGAGGAATGTAGATTTTTATCAATATTTTGTCTCCAACTTCTTGGAATATTAAAAAACATACGGTTATAGTCGAGAAAAGTTCCGTTAAGATCATAAAGTTATTGTAAACGTGGGAAGGGATCCATCAGTTTTCATCATACAAGTCTTTTATCGTAACTATACCTTTTTTAAACCAGTCATTAAAAATTAATACTGGTTCTCTAAAATAATGGTTTAACCATATGGGTTGGGAAGCAATTTCTGCTTTTTCTAAGTCTTCAAAGTCATATGAATGCATAAAGTCACTCCAGGCTATAAGGGTACCTTTCCAGAAAGGATTTACAATTTCCCAATTCTTGTGCAAACTGGCACCTAAAGTGTAGATATTAGCCAGCTGAAAACTAGCAAGGTCATAATTAATGTTTTTTTCACAATATCTTTTTAAACATGAAATTTTTAAAGATGATATAAATTTGGGTATATCAGTCATTTTCAATCCACCTTGACTGTAATTCCTTTTCAAATAATCCCTCTTAATCTTATCTCTTTTGCCACTCCAAATAAAGTTAAAAAGAATTCTATTCAATTGATCAATAAAAGCTTTTGATGGATTTGGAAAAAATATGTACAAGGGTAGAGAGAATTAAAGTCTTAACAACAGTTATTTTACCCATCAAAGTCAAATTACGTTTTTTCCATTTGCTTATAATACCATAGATGTTATCAAGGCGTTTTTTAGTGTTGATTACCCAAAGGTCTTTTAAGTCAACATTAAAACATATGCCCAAAACTTCAAAGTTGCCATAATGCCAATCTAGCTTTAAGTTAGGACAAAATCGGACTTTACTACCAGCCATACTGCCTATCCATATTGTTTTGGTTTTTTCAAAGTTCATTTTTAATCCTGAGATTTTGTAAAAAGTTTCAAGTGTATCCATGGCTGATTTTAATGATTTTTCTGAGCCATCTAAAAAAAGTTGGGTGTCGTCAGCATATTGGCCCAATGTGTGTTCAATATCGTGTAGAGGTATACCTTTTATATCTTCATTAGTACGAATCATAATGCCGAGAATTTCAGCTACGAAAAGAAACAAATAGGGGGAAATTGGGTCACCCTGTCTACAACCTCTTTCATTCATGAAAAATTTAGAGAGGTAGCCATTTTGGACAATACAAGAAGAGGCATTAAATATGAGTATATGAATCCATTTAATCATATTTGGCCCAAAGCCAAATTTTTCCAGAACGAGGAAAATTAAATCTTTATTCATGGTGTCAAACGCTTTCTCAAAATCAATGAGCATCAACGTACCTTTTTTGTCAAGTCTCTTAGTTTCAAATATGATATCGTAAAGTAATCTAGTATTTTCACTTAAACATCTCCCAGGGATAAATCCTGATTGATTACAATGAATTAATTTGTTTAAAGATTGCTTGATTCTATTAGTAATACAAGAGCTTAAAATCTTATATAAATACAGCATTTAATAAAGTAATGGGACGCCAATTTTTTAATCTTTTTCTATCTTTATTTGCTTTTGGAATGCAAGTAATCACGCCCCAGTTCATAGTAGAAGTCAAAGAGTTAGAATGGTAAGCGTGATTAAAGTATCTCCATATCCAGACTCTTAAATCTTTCCAGAAAAATTTAAAGAAGTCAATTGGGAAGCCATCAAGACCTGGGCTCTTATTATTTTTCATTGCAAGTGTAGCCTTACCAATTTCGTTTAAGGATAACGGCTGTTCAAAGGCCTGTTGCATATCATTCTCTAGTTTTCGAATTGGAATATTGTTTAACATCAGGCTTGGGTCAGTATCTACTGAACTATTTTTTTGGTACAAGTTTCTATAAAATGATTCTTGTTCTTTAATGATGAGAGTTGTATCATTCAGTTCCTCACCTTCACTATTAATCAAAGAGGAGATGATATTATTTGTAAAAATTCTATTTTCAAGACGACAAAAGTATTTAGTTGGTTTCTCTCCCTCCTCATACCATTGTAATCTCTTATTAAAAGCATTTATCTTGCTTTCTTCTTTAATTTTTTCATAATCCTTTTTTGATTCAGATAATTTACTTAAAGCTTCTTCAGAAATATTTTGAAAATCCTCTCTAATTTTATTTTCATATTGGTTTATTTCTTTTTCTAAATCGCCCAATTTCTTTCCTCTTTTCTTTTTCAAATATGAGGAAAAAGAAATTGTTTTACCTCGCAAATTCATTAAAAAGGTTTCCAAAAATAGGGAATCAGGTATACTCAGTTTTAAATCCAAATCATCAAAAGGAGCAGAATGGTCTGATCTATAAGATGGATGCACATATTGTTGTTTTGTTTCATCTAAAACAGTCGTAACCATATCCACATATTGTTTATTTCTTAAAAAGGAAGTGTTAAATTTAAAATATCCACGGCCCCTATTATTTATCAGAGAATCATTTAGGCATAAAGAAATAGCCGAATGGTCAGATTTATAACCTGGGAGAATGTCAGCAGCAGGGGATAGGTTTAAAATATCTTCACTAACCAGAAAAAAGTCTAGCCTAGCTTGCTGTCTGGGTTTATGTTTCCACCATGTAAATTTTCTAA